GTGATGCAGTTGAGAGGGGAAAATGTATAGTATTTTAAGGGGAGGATCAGGTGTACAAGTAGAGGAGGAGTCAGCCTTAGGAATAAACCAAAGTTCATTTTTAAAGCACCAGGAAGGAAAGCAAATACACATCCACTGGCAAATGTGTTGGTACAAATATGTGACTGCTTCTGTTTCCTCAGTGAAGTAAAGCAAAGTCATGATCACAGAGTGATAACAGGGAGGAAAATGTTAAAGTTTTGGGAAAAAGAAATTTTAAATAATCATCTAGGGAAGAAGGAGTAAATGGATTATTAAAATGTAATCTATCCATTTAAGCACGTATTTCTCCTGCCACTAGAAGCACTTAGAGATCAAAAATGGTACCTTACTCAGCTTTACATCTTAACAGCTCCTAGCATGGGAACCTGTACTCTTCATTATTAGTTTTCTATAATTTTACTTTCATTTCCTTTAATATTCAAATAAAATCCAATTGGCTTAATGTTTTGCTAGTACTTTTAACTTTTTAAATTTAGTAAGAGAAACTTACAAGAAACACAGCTAAAGCACTAGCATAAAAAGACACCATCACTACCTACTTACCCAAATCAGGTTTGAAATCCACAGAAATAATTGCTAATTTCAAGAGGATCTTGCCAATTAAAACCCATTTTCTTAATATCTTAATATGATGGATTCTCTTTATTAAGAAATCCTTTAAGACTAATGGGTTTATACATAAATATAATATGAAATTTACCTAAGTGGTAATTAAATTGTTTTTCTCATTAGTTCAAATATGTGTTATAATTCAAAACTGCTCAAAGAGAAATGAAGCAGAAACCAAAACTTATACAGAAAAAACATAAATTACACATTTTAAAACATTTGCAATTACAAGAAAAAAAGACAATCTTCTAAAGTCATCTCTAAATTTTAAAGAACTATTTATAATGATTTGAATGTAATTAAAGTCTAAATGTGTACTGCTGTAATTTACCAAATGGGATTATTTTTAATACTGCTAATTTCCAACTGGTTAACTACAACAATTTAATGAATATTAAAGCCACTGAAACAATTTAAGGTTACTGCCTGATTCTTCCCTCTTACCCAGTAAGAATATCAACAAATTTCTACTTTAAATTTAATATTAAAAAAATTTGCAGAGATCTTGCCATTTGCAACGACATGGATGGAACTGGAGGGTGTTATGCTGAGCAAAATAAGTCAATCAGAGAAAGACATGTATCATATGA